CTAAAATCTCAATCGGAACTTCCTCATAAGAAAGATTTTCATCAACTCTCAAACCCTCTAAGGGAACTATGGATGTCGGATCTCCAACACATTTATTCAACAAGGAGACAAGGAAAACTGGATGCACCGATGCCAAGTCATTAGGCAAAGCAAGTTCATAAGCAACTTTACCAATACACTTTAAAATCTGATATGGGTCCACATAGCGGGGACAAAGCTTCCCTTTCTTCCCAAATCTCATTACACCCTTCATGGGTGAAATTTTCAAGTAGTCCCAATCATATATATTAAACTCAAGATCTCTTATTCTTACATAGGCAGAGGAATTTTGTCGACTTTGAGCCATTTTCAACATTTCTTTCATAAGCCAAGCTTTGTCCATAGCCTCATGCACCAACTCGGAACTTATCAATGCAACTTCACCCACTTCAAACCAATCTATAGGAGATCTACACCTATTATATAGAGCCTCAAATGGAGCCATACCAATGCTTGAGTGATAGCTATTATTATATGCAAACTCAATCAAAGGCAAGTGATCATCCCAATTACCTTTGAAGTCAATTACACATGCTCTCAACAAATCATCCAAAGTTTGGATTGTACCCTCCGCTTTCCAATCGGTTTGCGGATGAAAGGCCGTACTAAGCTTAACGCGAGTACCAAGAACTTTTTGGAAAGATTTCCATAACTGAGAAGTGAATTGGGTACCACAATTGGAGATAATGGATAAAGGAACTCCATACAACCTAACCATTTCTTTCAAGCACAACTTGGCATAGTCTTCCACCGAGTAAGAAACTTTGACGGGATTTAAATAAGCCGATTTCATCATTCGATCCCCAATAAACCAAATCAAATCATATTGTCATCCGGCGCGAGGTAAACCAACAATAAAGTCCATGTTCAAATTTTCCCACTTCCAAGTAGGAATGCTTATATCTTGGGACAATCCTCCCAGCTTTTGATGCTCAACTTTCACTTGTTGACAGTTAGGACACTTAGCCACAAATTCCGTAATATCCTTCTTCATATGATTCCACCAATAGACCTACCAAAGTCACGGTACATCTTTGTGGCTCTAGGGTGAAAGAAATATCAAAAACTATGGGATTCTGATCATATTTTATCTCTCAATTCATCTTCATTGGGAACACACAAATGACCTTTATAACAAAGTACACCATATCCTCCTTGGGAGAAAACCTCTATGGATTTATTAAGCACAACTTCCTTCAATCTAATCAAGATCGGGTCAAGACCTTTCTTGGCTTTCACATCTGTCACAAGGGACAATTCTAAACCATATTGAACCATAATACCGCCCTTGTTAGAGTGACCTAACTGAACACCCAATCGGGACAATCTATGAACATCCCTAACCAGTTCCTTCTTACCATCCTCAATATGAGCAATACTACCCATTGATAACCAACTAAGAGCATCAACCACCACATTCGGCTTATCAGAATGATAAAGAAAACTCATGTCATAATCCTTTAGTAACTCAAGGCACCTCTTTTGGTAAAGATTTAGATCTTTCTATTTATACCCATATTGCAAACTTTTGTGGTCGGTAAAAACATCTACATGAACAGTGTACAAGTAATGCCTCCAAATCTTTAGGGCAAACACAACCGCTGCTAGTTCAATCATGGGTAGGATAATTCTTTTCATAAAATTTTAAGTTTCCTTGAGGCATACGCAATGACTTTGCTATTTTACATGAGGACACATCCTAACCAAATTTTGGAGGCATCACAATAAACAAAAAATCAATCAGACCCTTCTGGTAAAGTCAACACTGGAGCGGAGGTAAGTCTATCCTTCAATTCCTAAAAACTCACAAGCTTCCGACCATAAGAATTTTGACTTTCTTTTGGGTCAACGCCGTCAATGGAGAGGAAATCGAAGAGAACCCTTCAACAAACCTTCTATAGTAACCGGACAAACCCAAGAAACTTCAAATATCAAAAGGGGATAGAGGTGTAGGATAAATCTTGACCGGATCCTTCTTCTGAGGATCTACCTCAATACCCTTCTCAAAAACAATGTGACCAAGGAAGACCACGGATCTTAACCAAAACCCGCATTTACTAAACTTTGCAAATAGTTGTTGGTCCTAGAGGACTTGCAACACAACCCTCAAATGATTTGTACACTTCTCTTCACCACTTGAGTAAATCAAAATATCATCAATAAATATGATCATGAACATATCAAGGTATTGCCTAAAAACCCTATTTATCAAATCCATAAATTAAGCTAGAGAATTTTTCAAACCAAATGACATTACCAAGAAATCATAATGACCATACCGAGTTTGAAATGCCGTCTTCGGAATGTCATCTTCTTTCACCCTTTATTGGTGCTAACCCGACCGAAGATCAATCTTAGCAAAGTAACTTGCTCCTTGGAGTTGATCAAACAAATCATCTATCCTTGGAAGAGGATATTTTTTCATAATGGTAACCTTATTCAATTGTCGGTAGTCAATACACATACGAAGTGAACCATCTTTCTTTTGAACGAACAAAACTGGAGCACCCCATGTAGAGATACTCGGTCAGATGAAGCCCTTATCCCATAAATCTTTCAATTGGTCCTTTAATTCCTTAAGTATTGTTGGAGCCATACAATAAGGAGGAATAGATATAGAATGCGTATCTGGGAGAAGGTCAATGCCGAAGTCTATTTCCCTTTCGAGAGGAACACCAGGTAAATCATCGGGAAACACTTCCGAAAACTCATTAACAACGAGGACCGACTCAAGAGTAGGGTTTCGAAATCCACATCCTTGACCTAAACAAGATGATATATACAACCCTTAGAGATCTTCTTTTTAACTTTTAGACAAGAGACAAACTGACTCTTTGGCATAGAATTTCCCCCTTTCTATTTTAGGATGTGTCAATTTGGAAACTCAAACTTGACTACTCGGGGTTCTATAATCAATAGAAGCATAACATGAATGCAACCAATACATACCAAGGATAAAATCGAAATCTAACATATTAAGCTCTACAAGGTCAACATGAGTAACTCTATGGGATACGGAAATGGGACACTTTCTATAGACTCTCTTAGCCACAATAGATTCAACAATGGGAGTAGAGACATAAAAATGATCTAACAGCACATCTAGAAGAATATCAAACCTCATAGCCACATACGACGTCACAAAATACAAGGTAGCAGTGGGGTCAAGTAAAGCATAAATATCAAGTTGGAAGACTTTCTACATACTGGTAACCACATCGGGAGAACCCTTTTACTCATGACGAGTCTGAAGTGCATAGAATCGATTTTTCTTTTGATTACCACTAGAATCTGACGGGGGGTATGGTTGAGCCTGCCGATTATTATCTCCTTCATTCTCAGAAACACAGGGGCAATATATTATCTTATTATCCATCTTGCCAAAATGAAAACATACATTAGAACCCTGCTAGACATTTACCCTCATGCTTTCTTCCATATTTAGCGCAAGTAGACAATGAAGTTCCACTACCATTCCCTCCTTGAGGCTTAGGGTTAAACACCATCTCTTTGTTGAATTTAGGAGGAGCATTGAAGGAACCTTGATCGTAAAACCTTTTTTTGGAGCTTAGAACGACAATGTCTCTCAGACCTTGAATGTTAGAAGTCATCATCCCCAGTCTTGGCCCTCTTTTCCTCCCTAGACCTTTCTTTAAGTTTCTCCTCTTCGATTTGTTGAGCATGAACCATGAGACAAGAAATTTCTATATAGTTGATAAGCATGGTAGTACGACATTCCTTAACCACCATCTCGAACACTCCCAATAAAAACTTACTCATTCTTGCCCTAGGATCGGCAACCATAGTAGGAGCATATCGAGATAATTGTATGAACTTTAAAGCATATTCCTTCACACTCATGTTCCCTTGACGGAGGTTAATGAACTCAAGTAACTTGGCCTCCTCATCCTAAGTGGAAAAGAACCTATCTCTGAAAGCAACCTTAAACTTCTCCCAATCAAGAGGACCTACTTCGACCACCCGCTCTTCCTTTCATTGGTTGAACCATATTTGAGCAACACCCTTAAGATGGTAAGTGGTCAATTCCGCCATTTCCACCGGCATCACCCCCATGATCATCAACACCTTATACATTTCATCAATGAACTCTTAAGGATCTTCCTCAACCTTAGAACCATGAAAATCTGGAGGATTCATTCTAGTGAAGTCCCTTACTCTAGATGTCGTCGTACCCACATTTGGGTTAACGGGGACAACAACCTCCCTATTGACTTGACCCATCATGGCTTGAGCCAACACTTGAAAAGCAGCCCTAAACTCCGCATTAGTCACTTTTTTGGCCAAAGGGCTGACCAGAGCTTGAGGAGTTTCTCGTTCCACATTCTCTCCGCATTCCTTCTAGTATATGCCCTTCGAGTGGCCATATCTTGTAAAGCATCGGATAGGGATTAGGAGAGAGACATAATAGAGTTAAAATCTATCGCATGACTTTAGAGTGATGAAAGAAGTGGAGTTTCCTAAACATCTCATAGCCTCACATTTATAAATGTGGCGTGCTACACACTCACGAAGAAGACTCTACTCGACGAGGTTTATGAGACTTCCTAGGACATTTATAAACATTGTGCTCTAAATATCAAGTTCTTCATGACCCAAAGTACACCCTAGACATGACATGGCGTATAACACCCCAAGAGGCCCTACACAATCCATTTAACATACATCATACAAGATAATAGAATTTAAATAAAGTTTAAATGATAGTTTCAAATCATAAAAGTTGATAAAATATAGCGGAAGTCTAACATAGTCTCAAATACATCTATTATATCAAGAGTGAATGGGACGTAACACATGCATAACATACAATACGAAAAAGTAGACAATAAGCAATAAAAGGTTCGGTCATCAGAACATGGGGACTCGCCAATCTTCAAATCTACTAATGTGATCACTAGCCACGAAGATGCAAAATGGGAACGTCGGACCCTACATTAATGAAACAATGTACGCAAGAGTATGTGCTAGTATATGGAATGTACCAAGTATGATAGCAATGCATAAGAGTATGAAATCATGCTAAATAGGACTTTATAATACATGCATTGACCGAGTTACACCATAAGATAAGAGTGTTAGAAAACATAAATCATAAGACATGGTCAATGCAAGTTAAACATGTTTTAAGCTCTTGTGAGATATTTATAAAAGTAGACTTAGTTCATTATTATGGGAGATTTACCTTCAACCGACCTAGAGACCATGTGAGCTATAACATGGAATATGGTTTCTACCCCACAGAAAAAAGAGGTGTTCTTACTTGACAAGGTAAGAACCATGAACTTCTAGCTTACGTGGATAAACTAGCTAATGTCTATCTAGACAACCCTATGGTGGTACGTAGTTTATGGGACATGGGTAATCGACACTTTTCCACTCGGTGCTAAGCATAAATCCCACGGAATAGTCATTAGTCTTAACTTATCTTAGCATTCATGAGACATGGGTATTCGTTGCTTATCTTATCATTAGTGGCAATGGGTAATCACCGCTTGCCTTATAATTAGAATAGATCCTTAACTTGATACATCATAGGTGAGAAAACCTTTCAACCTTATGAATTTTTTATGTGATAAATTCTTTCACAATCATGCTTTCATGTATATGTGAGAAATTCTTTCACAACAACAGCAACAACATTAACGCTCCACTCTTAAGCAAATCTTAAATCATTTCATCAATTTCATAAAGAACATGCATATCTTCATAAATTCATCTTTCATAGTTCAAAAGCCTTTTCATATAATCATAGTCTAGAAATCATGGATTTTACATGGGTTCATGGGAATTTAACTTAGAAACATGGAATTACTCCAATTCATGTATAAAAAGACATAAAACAATCAATTAGATCAGAATTGAAAAAACCCTTGAGTATGAGTAAAAACTCTAACTACCCTTGGAGATTCTACCTTGAAAAATTGTAGAATTTAGGAATCCTATGGAGGAACACTCCATAGGTTAATACTATCATACCTTGTTGCCAAAATCTTACAATCAATGGTGAATTTGGAGACTTGACCTTGGAAGCCTAGCCTTCTTCATTAATCTTTAATAGAGAGAAATATTATGGAAGAACTTTGATCAACTTTAAGAATTTAGGAAAATGGATTCAATTGGAAAATTTGAGGGTAAAAACGTTTATATAGGGTCTATAATAGAAGGTAAAATGATATAGTATTGGGTTAGCATAATTAGGAAAAGACCCAAACTCCTTTCGAAAAATAACTGCCGACCTCCATCGATGGTGGGGACCTACGGTCTGTGGGACCATCTACGAACTGTCCTTGTCCACCGTCAATGGGTTCAGAAACTTGTTTTATTGGACCATTGATTGATAGGACCCATGTACGATCTGTTGGTCAACCTGTGGTCCATACATGGCCTCCAGGGGTTCAACTAAAATTTCTTAAAATATTACTAAGTCT